TATGCAATGTAATTAATTCCTTTAATAGGTTCCTTTTTAGGGAAGTCCCATTAGTGGACATCACTATGAGCTAACATCTTAGTCCAGGAGAAAAGCTCTTCGGAGGCAACAGTGAAACAGATCAATCTTTGTGGAGAGCTGTGACCAGGGGCCTTAACCACATTCCTTGCAGTTTCAGAATGACATGTGATTCTGGGAGCACAGATAGGCAGATAGTTGTTCTCAGTAATGCCCTGACCACACCAGTTCTTTAACATAGATAGTTGTAAATGTTATAACTTCTCAGAAACCAGCAGCCCGGCAGGTGTGCACAAAGGGCGGGGATGAGGTGCAGTTCTGCTCACTGACTAACAGTTTTGGAGAAAGGCTACAGCTGTTTAAGGCACACTTGAAGGCTGCTGCACAAATTCTTTCTATATTAACCCACTAAGGATTGTTTTCTGTTCTTGATGTTGCTGAATAGGAGTGAAGTCTTTCCACTGGGGTTTCACTATGCTCTTCATGATCTTCACAGGTGGCCCCTGGAAATAGATGGCTTTGGGTTCAACATTCTGGCTCTGCAGTCTACTAGTTGTATGAGCCTGTGCAAGTGCTTTTTTTTTTTTTTTAAGATTTATTTGTTTATTTGAAAGACAGAGTTAGAGTGAGACAGAAAGAGAGGGAGAAATAGATAAATCTTCCATCCACTGGTTCACTCCTTGAATGGACACAATGGCCAGAGCTGAGCCAATCCAAAGCCAGGAGCCAGGAGCTTCTTCTCGGCCTCCCATGTGGGTACAGGGGCCCAAGGACTCGGGCCATCTTCTGCTGCTTTCCCAGGCCCATAAGCAGGGAGCTGGGTCGGAAGTGTAGCAGCCAGGACCCAAACCAGTACCCATATGGTATGCTGGCATTGTAGGCAGTGGCTGAACCTGTTCCACCACAACAGCCAGGCAAGTGTTTTAACTTCTCTGTTAGCCATCTCACCTGAGCTGGTGTGGTGAGGATGAGAAGAGCACGGGTATGGCCGCAGCCAAGCGCCTGGCCTACAGTGAGTGCCTTTGATGCTGAATAGCACCGTGACTCGCCCTGCTGAGTGGAGGTCCCACCACGGCCAGACAGGCTTGGAACACAAAAGCTGAAACACTCTGCCAAAGCAAAGCTGGGTGTGGGGTGCCGCTGTGCAGGGACACAAGGGAGCTCTTGGGGGTGACAAAAATGCTCCACATCTTGATCATAGTGGTGTTTACTCTGGCGTAAGCTACAAAAATTCAATTCTTTTCCTGGTTAACCACCTTAATCTACTAGTGCAGCTCATAATCACTTCACCTCTATATTCATACACCAGTCTCCTGATCGAATCTTCTGTCCCTGAACTCCTTCTCTCATTCTTCCCTCTTAGTGTACCCAGGCTCACACCCACCCCTCCTGGGGCCACTTCAATAATCGTGCCTAGAACAGTGTATGATGCCATTTGTTTAAACAGGAGGGAGAGAAATGAATGTGCGTAAGCAAGTGCAAGAATGTTTGCTTGTTTATGCCTAAAATAGCTCTGGAAAGATATATGAGAAAGTGGTTATGTTAGCTACCTATGGGGAAGGGAGCTAGGAGACAGGGAGGGAGGGGTGTTTTTGTCTTCATACCCTTTTGTTCCTTTTCAATTTTAAATCATGTGAATGTTATTACCTAATCAAAAATAAATACATAAAATGTAGGAAATAATACTTGTGAGAATGCTGCCAAGTTCATCTATTCATTAAACAAATATGTACTGGATATCTAGCACTTGCCAGACACATAGCAGAGCTAGGGTGTCCACAGCCACGACTGTGTCCCACTGCTAGGAGCTTCACAACCAGCAAGCGCACAGGCCCTGCCTGCTTTTGGGCTTTCCGGGCTGCTTCCTGTGATTGAAAGTGAGCCATCTGCAGCTGGCGTCTGGCCCAGCAGCTACGATGCCTGTGCCCCATATCCAAGCACCTGGATTCAACCCCCAGCTCTGCTCCCCATTTCAGCTTCCTGCTAATATGCACCATGGGAGGCAGCACGTGTATTTACGGGTCTGTGCCACCCATGTGTGAGACATGAATTATGTTCCACACTCCTAGCTTTGGCCTTAACATCTCTGTCTCTCTGCCTTTGAAATCAATAATAAAAATTTTTAGAAAAGTACACTGGTTAATCACACTGGTCAAGGCTGGCATATGATTTGGGAAAAAGCAAGGTTAGGATTAATTATGCTACAAAAGATGCCCAACCACATACTTGAGAAGACATAAAAAGCTTAGAAGTGGCAAGGATATCAGACAATATTTCATAACTAGCATTACTGGCCATGAACTCCCTCTGTGCCAGACATTCTTCTAAGCATTTTGCATGTATTACAGTAACTCATTTGGCTCCTGCAATAACTGTGAGACACTATTATTGCCCCATTTTATAGACGAGGAGACTGAAGCAGAGGGAACACATAACTTGCCAGCCACACAACTAGTAAGACAGGAGAACCAGGGCTCCAACTAAGGTGATGTCCAGCTCCAGAACTCTCAGTCTTAAACACTTTAGTGCTTTTTGGAAAAGGGATTATGAAATATTCACTTTCTCCAAAATACCTCTGTGGAAATTCTACCATTAATCAAAATGTCACAGGATTTTTACAGCTAGAAGAGACTTCAGTACTCAGTTGGTTCAATGTTTATCCAAGGGCCATCCTGCACGAGGCCTGAGCATCTCCAGTGCTCCAGTGACGGGGAGCTCGGGGAGGCAGAAGCACTCACCAGCTGGCAGCTCAAACTGCTAACAAAAACCGCAACTTACTGATGGCCCCTCGCGTTCCAGGCGCTCTGCTACTGCATGGAGGAGAAACGCTTTAACGTGTTGCAGCCAAATCTGCCTCCCTGAGACTTCCTCCCGCTGCCTCTGTCCTCTGTTCTTTGGAGCAACACAGAATTAGTGGCTCCCTGCATTTTATGCTAGCCCATCATGCGAGTGAAGACAGCGACAAAGTTCTCCTTAAACGTTCTTTTCCCCTGTTTATTCAACCTGCTCTCATACTGCAGTCCCTAGGTAAGAGTCATTTTCCTCATTGACAGGTTTCTGCTTTAAAATGCAAGTGTGGGAGCCGGTGCATTCTGTGCAGTCTGCTGTTTCCCTGCCACTCAACTGTCTTGAAGGAAAGGGAGTCTGAATTTGGGGAAAGGGGTGGGGAGGGAGCTGAGGACAGAGGCAACTGAGGGTGAAGTTCAAGTACTGGCCCTCGGAATGGACAGGAATTTGATGCAGGAGCTCTGGGGAGGCAAAAAGCAGCTCTACAATACTAAGCTGCTGGAGACCAAGACCATGTTAAAGTCCTGAAACAGCAGTACTGATGAACATCTGCTGAGCACTGCCTATGTGCTGCTGGGCCATTTGCTTCAATCACTTCTGTCAATCCGCACAACTGCGAGGATCTGTCAGTTTTAGGCTAAGTTTATAGCAACTGTAAATATAAATTGAGAGCTAAATTCTTTTATTTTTAAAATGTTTTGAAAGATTTATTTATTTGGGAAGCAGCATTACAGAAAGAGAAGGAGATACAGAGACAGAAAGAGAGGGGCCGGAGCTGTGGCGCAGTGGCCTGAAGCACCGGCATCCCATATGGGCGCCGGTTCAAGACCTGGCTGCTCCACTTCCCATCCAGCTCTCTGCTATGGCCTGGGAAAGCAGTATAAGATGGCCCAAGTCCTTGAGCCCCTGCACCCATGTGGGAGACCCGGAGGAAGCTCCTGGCTCCTGGCTCCTGGCTTCAAATCGGCGCAGCTCTGGCTGTTGCAGCCAACTGGGGAGTGACCCAACGGAAGGAAGACCTCTCTCTCTCTCTCTCTCTCTGACTTTCAAATAAAATAAATACATTTTTAAAAGAGAGAGAAAGAGAGTTCTTTCATCTTTTGGTTCACTTCCCAAAAGGCTACACTGGCCAGGGCTGGGCCAGGCTGAAGTCAGGAACCTGAAACTCCCTCTGGGTGTCCCAGGTGGGTGGCAGGGTCCCAAGCACTTGGGCTAGCTTCCAGTTTTCCCAGGTGCACTAACAGGGAGCTGGATGGGAAGTGCAGTGGTTGGGACATGAACCAGCGCTCACATATGGGATGCTGCTGTTGCAGGCAGCAGCTTAACACGCTGTGCCACAACACTGGCCCCTAAATTCCCCTTTTAAACAAAAGATTCCTTCCAAAACCCAGACTGACTAATTACTCTGTAAAACTAATCTACTTTGAGTCAAAGACTCCTAAAGTTTTTGTAAAGCTCCTTTATATTCAAACACCTGCAGAGAAGGTACGTTCAAGACCTCACAAGGAAGCCCATTTCAAAGCTCTGACAACCTATGGAGTTGAAAAGCTCCTCCTTACATAGCTGAGCCAAATTGACCTCCTGAAGCTTTTACCAATTTGGTCTTAGATCTGCCCTCTGGAGAGACACAACATAAACCTAATCCCCCTACTAGACAGCTAATCTCCATGTGGCTCCCTTCGAAGCAGTTCCGGTGACTCAGGCTCCAGTGCTAGCAAGAACAGAATCAAAGCAACACCTCCCACCCCTTCTCCCTTCAGTGGCAGAGCCCACCAAACATGCTGAGAGGCAGGCCCTGTGCTAGCCCCATTTGAGGCTCCAGGAGACAGACTGCCCTGAACAGTCAGAAACGCGGAAGAGTGTGGCAGGGGCAATGCTGGACCGGCAGGCTTCCTTTCATTTTCCCATTGCCATCGCACATAGCCCATTGCTGGCTGACGTGAATACTGGGTCCAGGGATTCTCCTTGGTCTGGATAGGAGTCCCACGTTCTCAGGTTTTCGTGTGCATTAGAGTCCAGAGAGCTTTCCACAGGGCCCACCCCCTGAGACTTTGATTTAGTAAAAATGAGCCAGGTACAGTAGTCCATACTTTAACAAGTACTCCAGGCTCTGAGGTCCTCACCATCCATTGAGTTGAAGAAACACTGATCTAGGTGAAGAAGCTTTTCCTGATATGAAAAAGGAGAAGAAAAAATACCTTGCATTTTGTTTTTATTTAACCATAATGCACATACACTTAACATTTGACTTACTGGTCTTACTCATTTAAATCATTAAATCCCATGTTGCTAAATAATAACACTTTAAGTCATTTATTCTTCATTGCATACTCATCAGTAAGTCCACCAACATTCGTCCAGAACAAGGAGGGGGCTAAGAGCATCATCTGTGGGTTAGAGACCGGGAAGTGAAGAACTCGTTGGGAATGTTCCACACTGGCCGTGCAAAGGGAGCCAGCCTCCTGCAGTGCAGCTCTGCTGTGTAGCAGGTGCTCTGCCTTGGACTGGACAACAGAACAGGGCCTGGGAAGCTTTCTAAGGAGAGCACATTTTGGTTGCACACTTAGGTGATCAACCTGTGACAGAAGTTAACACATAAATCAAACCTAGATATCACACCCTCTGCAATTCTATGGGAATTTTAATAAAGCTATTAGAGGGATTCCAGGACACAGGTTACAACAAGTTAAAACATTTCACAGTAGTCTAAATACCTGGAGAGTTTAATCATGCAAGGAAAACCCTTCTTTCCTTTGAAAACAGCTCCTCTCTTTTCAAACAGCTGCCGTGGCTACACTTTCAAAGGTTGTTGCAGCTCTAACTCAGGTGTAAAGTGATACCATGCCAAGGCAGCCCTGGTGACCTTGTCTCCTTGTGGCAAAGTGAATGCATGTCATACTCAGTAATTTAACACTTAACAAATTTAAAAAAGAGTTGAGCACCAAACTTAGAAAAAGGTTTTGGTAATAGGAACTTCCTTTCCTGCCAAGACACTTCATGCATGTTTTTGTAAAATAAAATTTTCTTAAAGTAAATGTGACTAACGCATCTAAGTTTCATTTGCTGTGAGGACTGAAGACTTTCACTGGTTCGCTGATCTTCTTCTTCTTCCTGGAGCTCTCGGAACTTTGCTGACTGTACTCAAAATTCACTCTCTGAATCTGTAAGAATTACCAGAGAGAGGCACAATTCAGCAGAGATTTTGACATCTGCACAAGACATATAAAAGACAGGTAGACCAAGCATTAATCCCGCAAGCTGCAGAACGGATCCAAACCTGCTCTCCTGCAGGCTGGGTTGGCCCTGCTGCCAGTATCAGAGTCTGGTACTCCAGGTTTCAGGAGCTGAGGTCCCCTGGAGACAGCTAGTTCCTGGGCCAGGTTCTTTGCTCTCTCCAGTGCGTTCAGTACAGCCAGCTCTTGAGGGAAGGGTCACTGAAGGCAGGGCCGACAGGGAGCAATGAAGGGCAGCAGAGATCTAGGGCGCTGGCTGCTTCAGCGGCAAGTGTAACCTAAGTCCCATGTCAGCTACTGCACACAGACAGCCTTGCCTTTTCCAGCACTTCTCCAGCACTTGCCTTTTCTAGCCTTCAGACTAATGAGTTTAGAAGCCCCATGCCCACAGGGCTGGAGCTGTGGCGTAATGGGAAAGCCACTGGCTATGGCGCCAGCATCCCATATGGGCTCTTGTTTGAGCCCCGCTTGCTCAATTTTTGATCCAGCTCCCTGGACGTGCCTGAGAAAGCAACGGGAGAGGGATGAGTGCTGGTACCCGTCACCCACCTGGGAGACCTGGACAGAGCTCTGCTCCTGGCTTTGACATGGTCCAGCCCTGGCTGTTGTGGCCATTTGGGGAGTGAGCCAGCTGATGGAAGATCTCTTTCTCTCTGTGTGTCTTTTTCTCTCTCACTCTGCCTTTCAAATTAATAAGTCTTTTAAATTTTTCTTTTAAAAAAGCATGTTGTTTTTTTAACTAAAGTAAACTTATCTTTTAGTTTCATTTTCCATGAACATACTGACATACCCTTGTATTTTTCCACTGGGTTTAGTTTAGGTAAATATTTTAGAACTTATTTTCATTTAACTGAGTGAATAATCCATCAAATAATCCCTACTTCCAAGAAACAAAGAGGGCATTTATATATTGTCCAGCTACTAGATGGAAGGAAAGGTTTTCCCTGTCCTCTGTCCTTTCTTTGGAGGGAAAATGGAATAAGGTATGAGAGCACTTCAGAAAGTTCAAGGAAAATAAAATTAAAAGATAAATGTATTTTTTGGTGCAAAAATTTTTGAAATCCATGCATACTTATATTTTAAAGCAAGAGTTTTCAGAATATCTAGTAGCAGTTTCAACACTATTTTTTTATTCTTTTGTTTTAAAATTTTAAAATTTATTTCATTTATTTATTTGAAAGGCAGAGAGAGGGAATGAGAGAGAGAGAGAGATGTAGACAGAGGGCTCCCATTAGCTAGCTTACTTCTCAAATGCCTGCAACAGCCAGGGCTAGCCAGGTCAAAACCAGGAGTCAGGAACTCAATCCAGATCTCCGATATGGGTGGCAGGAACCCAACTACTTGAGCCATCACCTGCTGCCTCCTAGGGTGCACATTTGCAAGAAGCTGGAATTGGGAGTGGAACCCAAGCACTCCAATACAAGATTACCTGTGTCCCACACAGAATCATTTTAAAAAAAGATTTATTTATTCATTTGAGAGGCAGAGTTATAGAAAAGAGAGGGAGGGAGGGGATAGAGGAAGAAGGAGAAGAGAGGGGAGAGAGAGAGAGAGAGTGAGAGAGAGAGATGATCTTCCATTTGTTGGGTCACTCCCCAAATGGCTGCAACGACTGGGGCTTACCAAACCAAAGCCAGGAGTCAGGAACTTCTGGGTCTCCCACACGGGTTCAGGAGCCCAAGTACTTGGGCCATATTCCACTGCTTTCCCAGATGCATGAAAGGGAGCTGGATTGGAAATGGAGCAGCCAGGACTCAAACTGGCACCCATATGGAATGCTGGTATTGCGAGAGGAGGCTTGACCTGTTACGCCACAATGCAGGCCTCCCAAGAAGCATCTTAACCACTGCACTTAAAACCTACCCTTCCTCCTTTTTCTTTTATAGTAGATGCATGTTATTATTATTGATAGATTAATACTTTTAAATAGTGAGAATGTCAATAAAGCATTTAAATGCTACTTAGAAATAAAGATTGGGGCTAAAAATGGCAATTTAAGCATCAATTTAGCCTTCAGTTTTAGAAAGCAGTTAAATTCCTGATCTCAGAAACCACAGATTCCCTTTGGCTTAAACCAGCATATTGACTATATAAAACAGCCAACTCTGAGGAAGTAAATAGAGCTGCTCATCAAATGACTGGTTTGCTTACACATATGAAAGTTTGAAATGGACTGTCCCAAAGCAAACAGCAACATAAAAACCCAAAGCCCAAAACACCTGGGACATCCATTTGTTAAAGGTTGGTTGTAAGAAATAGTACTCGGTAAAACTCAGTTTGTTTAGAAAGATTGTTGGGTCGCACTTTCCACTCAAACCAAACTATTCTCAGTTCTTTCAAGTCTGCACACACTTGAAAGAAGAGGAGCGTATAACTTCTCAAAGGACAACTGGCCTGATGGCTTAACAGTTTTACTCTTGTCCCCTTTTATTGCTCAAGTAAATCAGACTTCTATGACAAGTTGCAGAACTGCAGTTTTATTGTAGTGCAGGAGTCAATACATCTTCAATAATGTATTCCAGGCAATCAGTGAGGTCTGGGAACTTTCAAGGGTTAATAGAAAACAAATGAATTCAAAAGCAAGTATGTTATCAGTCAGGGGACACTTCCTAACACCGATGAATAATCTACATGGCCTATCTAAACTAGCAAATTTATCCACACTAATGAATATTTGAGAAACATTTTTTCAGGTGTATTCCAACCGGCTGGGTTTGCATATGTGACACCAAAGCCAAGCAGCCCAGCAACCAGGCCAGCAATCAGGCATGCTACACTGATTATGTGGATGTTCTGAGCACCATCAGATGATCACCAAATGGTTTCGAATGCATTTCATATTCCATGAACATTTCACAGAGCTGCACACATACACACATACGTACGTTAAAGCTTTCCCTGAATGCAGAGGCTACTGCAATCCGTTTGCCAATAAAGGCTCAAGAGTACAATGTCTACATCTACGTCTGAAGAAAAGCCCTGAAGGATGCTTTCTGCTCTGCCATTCACCTGCTTTGCAGTTTTGGCTTAGTAACTTTTTTGGTTTGAGAACCCAGGGAGCAGGCTCAGTGTTAAGCGGATAAGATAGCCAGCAGATTCGCTAGCAGTATTTTGATAGCCCTGAGAGACAGCCCTTCTTCCAAGACTCTAGTTATCACTTTTTCCTTTATGCATTCCCAAAACAATGCTCGGTACTTGAATGTTCTCCCAGAGTTCTGTCTTTGTTGTCTTTTCTCCTCATTCTCCACACTCCCTCTGAGTGATCTCATTCACTCCCTGGACTCAATTACCATTCACAAGCAAAGACCTTCATATTTATGTGTTCAACCTGGATCCTCCTTCCGATCTCCAGATCCGTGTTATGTATCCAGTTGTCTCCAGTCTCCACATCAGTGCTGGGAAGGGAATGCCAATGCAGCGTGTCCCATGGGAACTCCATCCTGACTTTTTATGCCAGCTCCCAGTCTTTACTGTCTCTCACCCAAGCTGTCCAAGTTAAATCCAAAGTTACCCATGATATTCCACTTATTGTCACCTAATATTCTAATTATTCACTAATTCCTCTTGAGCTTACCTCCTTAATATCTCCCAGATCCATCTATTTTTCTCTATTTTCACTACCTCTATTTTAATGCAGATCAACGTCATTTCTCCCAATTACTGGGCCCCCACCTGCTCCTGCTATTACTGCTTCTCCAATCATTCTCCACTCTGAGTAGTCTTCTGTGCAAATCTGACCACAATATTCTTCTGCTTTGTCATTCATCCATTAATGACTTCCCATTGTCTTCAGGATAAAGCCCACATGCCTTATGGCCCTGGTCCATCTCTGCAGTTTCATCCTACCCCATATTTACTTAATCACTTGTGGTTCTCTAAATGGGCCCTGCTTGTTCCCCACTGGATTTTGCATTTAATTCTCACTCACATGCTCTGCTCCCCACCTCTTCATCTGGCACACCGGTAGCCTGCTGGCCTTCTGCTAGAGCTGTGCTGTTTTTGCCTGTTTTGTAACATTTTCTACACAGTACCATCAGGCCCACTTCCTGATCTAGGTTGTAAACTCCTTGAGGTTAGTGAGAATACTCAGATTTTACTTACTTATTTATTTTAAATGATTTATTTGAAAGGGAGAGTTACAACGATAGAGGGAGAGACAGAGAGAGAGAGAGAGAGAGAGAGAGAGAGATTTCATCTACGGGTTCATTCCCCAAATACCTACAATGGTTGGCACTGGGCCAGGCTGAAGCCAGGAGCCTGGAACTCCCTCTGGGTCCCTCACATAGAAGGCAGGGTCCCAAGCACTTGGGCCATCTTCCCAGGTACACTAGCAGGGAACTGGATCAGAGTGGTGCAGCTAGGACTTGAACCAATGCCCATGTGGGATGCCATCGCTGCAGGCGGTGGCTTAACCCACTGCTCCATGCCAGCCCATATACTCAGATTTTAATAGTCTTTATATTCTCAGCTCCTGGCATATAGTAGATCCTCTTTAAGTACTGCTGAATGAATGAATGAATGAATGAAACTGATTTTGAGTCAGGCACTGTGTTAGGCATTAGTATCATATCTCCAGTGCTATAACACTGAGTGAGACATGGTTGATTTTCCAAGACTGAATTTTGTAAAGGACAGGATACACACACACACACACACGCACACATTATATAAAGACAGGCATTATATATGTACATAATATACAACATAATACAATATAATGCCATAATACACATTCATACATTCAGCAATGGATTAGGTGCCAGCTATGTGCACAGCCCTGTTCTAAGTGCTTGGGATATATCAGTGAGCAAAAGAGATAAAAATCCCTGCCCTATGGATTTACAATCTGGCCATGTTACTTTTCGGTTTAATAATTTCCAGTGACAATATTGCTTTTAGGACAGAGTCCAAATTCCCTGCCTTGGCCT